TTGGCAGTAGATTTTTCACTATGGTTCTGTTTCCTCCGATACATCCTAAATGAAATACATTGTTGTTGTAGTCATCTTCCAGGGAGAGATCAGCCCCCCTTGACACAAGCAGGCGGAACAAATCGCTGTCTCCATTGACAGCGGCATACATCACTGGCGTCCAGCCATTGCCTCCACGACTGTTGATGTTAAACTGTGGGAGTAGGTATTTCACATTGGAGACATTTCCGCCGTGACATGCAAGATGGAGGAGATTGTTACCACTGTCATCAGTCCGTTCAAGATTCGCTTTCTCTTTCACAAGCAGGTCAAATACATCCTTCCTTCCATCCACAGCTGCCTTCATCACCGGAGTCCAGCTATGTTTTCCCGGCCTATTGATGTCAAGTCGTGTAAGTAGATACTCTAAAATAGATGTATCGTCCGACTGGCAAGCCACATGAAGGATGCTGTTGTTGTCATCATCAGTCAGGTTGATGTCGGCCTTTCTTGACAAAAGAAGGTCGAACGTGTTCTTCTTTCCAGATGATACTGAACACATTATAGGTGTCTGACCAAGTTTACCAGGGGAATTCACGTCCGTCAATTGCAGAAGTCGTTCCACAATGGAATTATGTCCACACTCACATGCTAGATGAAGTGCATTCCTGATGTTTGTATCTCTTAATCTTTTGTCAGTTTTGTGTTTTAAAAGAACATCCAAAACATCCTTCTTCCCAGGAAACACTGCACACACAAGTGGTGTCCAGCCATGCATTCCTCGAGTGTGGATGTCAAATTTCAATTCTTTAAGTAGATATTCTACACTTGCAGTTGTTCCATACTCAACTGCCAAATGTAATAACCTGTTGTTGTTGCTGTCACATAGTTCTATATCAGCGTTGTGTTCCACCAGGATTTTCAAACTTTCCTTCTGCCCAGAGACAACTGCGTACATAACTGGCGTCCAGCCATTCAACCCACGTCTATTGATGTCACAGTGAGGAACAAGTTGCTTCAGGATATTCTTGTTCCCAGTGAAGCATGCATAATGGAAGATGTTGTGCATGGCATCATGAGTCAGAGAAGAGGGTTCTTTAATCATTTGAGATATTCTTCCAGCTATTTCTTTTCTTCTACATATTGGATGCATGATGTATTCACTTAAAGAACCACTGGCAATAGAATTAGCCATTCTGTTTACAATGGTTTCACTGTAGGCCCCTGAGAAAGGATTGATGAGCTGGTGTGTTTTAACAGGAGCAATGTCTGCTTGCTGATCCTGTACATGCTCGAAGAGGAACTTAATATTGCAACGTTTACAGATGAATTCTGCATCAATACCAAACAATTCAGAAACACAGACATCACAAATCATTGAATGGGAAAATGATATTAAGTTTCCTTCTGTCAAAAGCGAACCACATAAACTTCTGACAGCCTTAGCTACATCTTGTCTGGTTGATGTCTTCACAAAGTACAGAGCTGCCTTGATGTGGACATCCAGGTCTGGGTGGTCAGATTCAGTCTCCAGCTGACTGAGGTTCAGCTGCCCGTCACACAGGAGCACTAGGATTAGGGCAGCTGAGTGGTTATCCCTTCGATTAATCACCGTATGAAGTTCCCGTTTAAGATAGAATACAGGATGTTCCCAAAACGTTTCATGTTGTTCTTGAAAGGCAGCATAACCGGAGAACAATTTGCATACAAGAGGAAATCCAACAGTTTGTTTATCACATGCACCAAGTTCGATCTCATCGACGTTTGCTTTGCATTTGTAATGGTGTTTATGTTTCATCCATATTTCTTTCTTCTCCTCTGGCGTGTAAGACAATGATGCTACTGTAGAGTTACTCAAACAACAAATTGGATGACCTTCAAGTTTTAACATTGCATGTTCTAGGGCGGAGGTTTCTGTGGTGAATATGAGGTACATGTCTGACTGATTGTCTCTTCTTTCTTCCTCTCCCGACTCCTGCTGCATACTCTCATATCGCCTCTCAGCCCTGTCCTTGCACTGTGCTAGGTACAGATGGAGGTCATACAGAAGGTGTTTAAAACGAGGCACATCCATTTGTGATCCAGTCTTCTGAAATATGTCATCAACTATCACACATACATCATGGCCTTGCCAGTCAGAGAAGTTTACTTGTGAGAGATCATCAACCAGCACCACCTCATACCCCTGCTTCCTGTATTCAGCTCCCAGCATCAGGGCCATGGATGTTTTACCTTCACCCGGAGCACCACTGATTGTCACATGATGGAACGCCTCCAACATTTCTCTCACTTTCTTAAAGTTTTCAGTTTCCACAAACAATGTTCGTGTATTGTTTATCTCTCGGTCAATTTGATCTGTGTAGGAAGAAACATGATGGTGTAAAGAAAATGAAATGTAAAGAATATATATTTAAATTAGTGAGATTATAATATATATATTATTTATATTGTCATTACAGTATGTTTCACATTTGATTTGAATATATGTACGTTGTTAAATACAATTGTTATAATTCTTCTACAGTGATAAAACAGGATGTGTGTACCTGGTTGAAGGCGTTGTTCATCCAGACTGTGTCCCAATCCTGGTCACAGAAATAAGAACCATAAGCTGGCATATCCATAAATGTATAGTTTCCATAAACACATGAAGGTGTTGATGCAGAATGTCCAACCAACAGGGGATAATTAAATATAGATAGTAATACCAAGTATGAGAAGAAAACAAGAGTGTTGTCATTCTTGATTTTGACACTTTCAAGGAGACCGATTAAACTCCGTGAACCATGTCTGTCGATAGTATTATGTCTCTCTATGGTACAGTTGTGGTCTACTTGGTTCAATAATTGTTTGTGTATGAAATAGTGACACAGAGTCTACGGGGTAATGGCATTCAGCAATCTGGCAGACATCAAGACATGTTCTATGTATAACCTTCTTTATATAATTATATGTAGATTATGCTCCCTGTATCAAGCAAGTGATTAATATCAAGGTGACACGTATGATACCTACAGATGGGGGTTTATACTCACTGCCAAAGTCTGTTGCACTCCTTTCCATTAGGGGAACTAAAGCATAGAATATGTCCAGATCAGATAAATAAATATTCCTTTACTGAACAAATGGCTATACACACTATACCTGAATTTGAATACCTGATGTTATCCGGTAAAAAATATGAACACATTATTACAACAACTATATACCCAGGTTTTATAAAATGCATTGACATTACACAAGCTTATACACCAGAGGTATCCCCAAAGCCACTGTAGTCATTAAGTTCAATTTGATGTTGAATCGTTCATTTTGGTGTTTCATTCTTACATGGTAAAAGTGGCGGTGGTCCAACAGAAGGTTGGTGGTACGATCCCTGTCCTAGTCATAACCAAACTGTGTTAAAAGTTGGTACTTGCGTTACTCTGCCTGGCACTAGACACTAAGGGCACAAAACAAGGACGGTCGTCTCGGAGCAGTATACTCCACCTGAATGTGATATTCATGTTAAAATTGCACTGTTGTATCTTAGTGGGCCAGCACTATAACAGCCTACTGAATCCTGACTTGCAGACTGGTTGAAAGATTCCGGGGTAGAATAGATCTTCAGCAACCCATGCTTGCTGTAAAAGGTGACTATGCTTGTCGTAAAAGGCGACTAACGGGATCGGGTGGTCAGGCTCGCTGACTACGTTGATCCATGTCATCGACCCCTATTGCGTAGATCGATGCTAATGATATTAATCACTGGATTGTCTGGTCCAGACTCGATTATTTACAGACCGCCGTCATAAAGATGGAATATTGCTCAGCGCGGCATTAACCAACCAACCAACCAACGTAAGAGCGCACGTGAATGTACGTCGCTATATAAGTGCAACAATCTAAAATGCGACCTTCAATCCCAATTTTTCTCACCTCGAAAGGCATCAGTGGCCATAAATAAACCAGAGCTATCACTTTAATTTACAGTAAACACGTACAAGTGCCACTATCACTTACATTGACCAATGTGAGTGAGTGAGTGAGTATGGTTTTACACCGCTTTTAGCAATATTCCAGCAATATCACGGCGGGGGACACCAGAAATGGGTTTCACACATTGCACCCATGTCGGAAATCGAACCCGGGTCTTCGGCGTGACGAGCGAATGCTTTAACCACTAGGCTACCCGACCGCCCCTTGACCAATGTGACACGACAAGAATCAGAGTACCAATAAAAGTAGTGTGTTCCTTGTATTCACCAAACAGAAACAGTGTATCAGTGCACACGTAAAAGTAGCACTATCATTATATTTATCCACGTGAAATAAAGTAATGCGTAGGAAAGTAATGCCAACGAATACAGTTCATAACTTTGGAAAAGATCAAATGATACCGGTGTGTAATACAACTACATCTGCTAAAACGTGTTTGCATATAGCTCAGCATATGTTTTGATAGCATCAGTCTATGGTATGCAAGTTTGGCTTGATGCTACCAACTAACCCTAATACACAAGGTGCATCTCGTCCCAGTATATATACCCACTGTTAAAGGATCAGATCAACTGAGTGTCTTATGACATCAACAAAATAAAAAGGTTACGATTTTAATTTGCGCTGACGCTGATGCCATTAACCAATTACTGTCGGGAGGGACGCAACTATTATATGCGAAAATATACACCCGGTGTACAGTTAAGCAATAGTCAAGTTAATTTAATATACTTACTGGCTTCCGGGAACCTGTAAACAACAACAAAGTTCACAACTACAATGGATGGATGACTCTTGTGTTAAACATACAATCAGTGAAGTAAAACATAATTTCAGGGAATACTGGTCGCTTATCCAAGCTTCATATTCCAATGGTGCATACCATGAACGATATAAGTTGTATGTTATATTACAAACTAAAAATTATGGAGATATGAAAGTAAAGAAATGCATGCTCTTTAGTGGTATTATTTTATGAGACATATTAGCCATCGTGACGTGATATCTTTGCATAATCATTGGTCTTGATATTACCTGCCAGGGCCGTTTTTTCTTCTCTTTTTCCGTTTTCTTCTGCAAGAAATCACAATTATTAGAGAGATTGAAATTCAATTTGAACTATGACAAGTAACTTAATAATGAATATAATTCCTCGTAGTTGTTGTATTATTAAAAGATAAAGCTAGGAACACGGAATATTCCATTCATTAATGAAAAAAATATGTCGTATAATACCAACAGATTGGAATGAAATCTCGAGCGTGAAACTAAGGTTAAAGTGTTTCTCGTGAATATACATAACGTTATTTGTTCCTATATTGATAGATGCGTTATTCGTTCAGCTGAAGACTTACAGTATGAATGCCACCACTGCGACTGTGACTGGGCAGATGATGAGGATGATGATGATAGGGACAATAATCGTAACCAGATCCGTAGGTTTCTCTGCGGCAGACGCCTCTGATGGAGATGCCTCTTGCCATGACATTGTATGTGCTGACACGTCTAATGATTAACACAAGCAAAAGCAAACCCAATTAAGTCTTGGAATATGTTTGTCTGTTTACTTCCAGACATTGTCTCTGGAAAAAAGTCAAACAATTTATTCTCCTCACAGAATATATTTTTCGGTGTCTATGCATATTTTGTTGATTGTAGTCCATTTTATAGAATTAAGTGTCAAATGCATTCATTCATGAAACATAACGCATTATACTCGTGAGTGATTATCTAAATAGAAAGAGTTTAAAACATAATCGAAGCCATGAGCTATTTGATGAGCAGGTTGAAATAAAACATTACTATGTCATAATACAATAAACATGAAATGGATAGTTCACAAGAATCTTAAAATACATCAGTCTGTAGCTAACACTATTTGTTAACCCCAACATTCAAACACATAACTGCAAAGATACTTGATCAATTTACTATCACCATGGCAGTGTCAGATGGAGATTGAGTTTGGCTAAACGCTGCTTTGAACAGTATTCCAGTTATATCACGGAATGTCAGCTTAATGTGGGAAGAAAACCCAGATGATATGTAGCTCTCACAAGTTTGACACTTTTTTAGGATTGCAATATGTTCAAGCACATCCTTGGAGTGTTTTACGAATGCACCAGCAATAAATTAAGGATTAAAATTGTATTTGTTGACGTTCATCAGCTGATGAAGCCAGTGCCGCACGTGAGCAAATTCTAGGATGCCCTAACATCATTCGTCCCAAGCATTCCATTTGGAGTGACATCCCTTGGTTTTACAAACGGCGGAAAATGGCGGCTACGACAAGATCATTCGCTTGAAATAAAAGTTGCACCCAGTTAAGTTTGCGTTGGAAAGAAATCCAGACCCGGCTGATGCTGAAAATGGATTGATAGTTATGTTCTAATTCACTATGTTCAACCGAACATAAAACATTTACTATGACAACATACTCCACTCATGGGTAATGCCTACCGCTGTTAACAGGCGAGCGGGTTTATTTACAAAATCATACATGTAGACACGCGACTGTCGTGTTATATTCCATTCCAAACACCGACACTCCATATTCTCTAAGGTATTCTTTCTGTAACAAAAACGTACATTTTAATATTTTTGGCACATAAAACCGTTACGAAATACTGCAATATCCTTGTAATATCGCGCTTGAACACTTTATAAATTACTGCGAAATTAACTTTTTGAAAATATAAAGATAACTTATCTGGACGGTGGGTCTTCTTGTGTATACAAATCCATGTCCGGACTCCTGAATCACCTCTCTGTGGGATCACTCACTGAAAGAAAGCAACACCCTTCTCCGTGCTAAACAGCACTCAATGCCCTGCGGCAATTTTTCCCATACGGTTTTACCTGCCATTCGGCAACACTGCAATAACAGGCCGTCCAACACAGACAAGCATTACACTAAAAATCTGATTACCTTTATGTGTATATTTTTAACAAACAAAGAAGACAACAGCTCGCCTGTGTGACGCGAAGGCCTCGAGTGGTGTTTCTTGCCCTCTCCTCTGCACCTTAAGCACGTGACGCCACCGCTTTCACGTGCACAGCCTTCTTCCAATCACATTCGTTACCGTATTTACCCCATAGTAAATACATTTATGTTCTAATTCACTATGTTCAACCGAACATAAAACATTTACTATGACAACATACTCCACTCATGGGTAATGCCTACCGCTGCTCGAATTAAAAGAACGGGTCCATGCAGCAGATTTATTTCGACTTATTTACAATCCCAACATTGATGACACACTCAACAGTTCAGAAACATTGTCTTTGATATAACCGTCTTTGGCCTTATCTGACGCCCAGCGTCCGTGTCTCTTGAACAGTCTGTCTGTTACTCCGGCGTTAGCTGCAGCAGTCGCCCCTCCTGACCGAAAACTGTGAAGACCCACTTTTTTTACATCTTCACCAATTAGTTTGAATTTCTCAATAAAGATTTCCCTCGCTCTGGTATATGATAAAGGTTTCTGACCTTTAAGTACATACTTTTGTACAGATTTACAGAAGGAAAGTTGACGAAAAATATATTCATTGGAAGTTTCAGCAACATTTCCAGCAATCAGGTACCTGTTTAGCATATTTACTGGACATAGATCTGAGCCTGTAGCAGCGATCAAAACATGACGCCCATCCCTATAAACGTCAGTTTTACTGTTCTCAACAAAAATACTCATGAAGCCATCCTTGAATTTAATGTTTGACCGTCTGATATTCACTACTTCAGAAAATCTGAAAAACCCAGCAAAAGATAAAAGTGACATTGTTAAAAACCTTAAATCAAGTAGAGAGGGAGTTTTCCCAGATATACTAACCAATTTCTTTAACGTGTCACAAGTAACAGGTTCTTTTTTCTTGACTGGAGTACTACACGTTCTTAATGCCGCTTCTCTGATGTTCACAATCAAATCATGTTTACAAGGATCTGGCAGACATGCAAGCTTGTGCGCCCAACTAATACCGTAAATAGCTTCCATGACAGATGGAGCTTTCTTACCTCCCTGAACAAGTGATGTAAGATACAAAGCAACATGAAATGGATGAGCAGGCAAACATGTAATCTCCTTAAATTTTGAACTCCATTTTTTCCAACTATTATAAGATCTTTCATACTTATAGACTGTCGCTGGGGCCTTAGACTTGAGAACTAAATCTGGCATATGTCCTGCTAGATCAATAAGGTCTGTATGAACTAAATTGTTCTTCAGCTTCCAGATACCGGAGGAGAACATGTCTGAAACAACAACATTGATCTCATGGAATAATTCTAACTGCTAATGCGTAGCCATCGAATTTGTCAAACAAGGATTTCTTGCTGCCGCCTGAAAATGCAATACTTCCATTTAATTGCAAACTATCAGCGATATAATGTTTGAACTTTCCGTCATCAAAAAGTGAAGTCCAGAACACAGCTGATTGCCACCTAGGCACTACTAAAGTTATGCTAGCTTCACTTTGAAGAGCATATCTAATAGCCTTTGTTACCAAATGCACAGGGGGGGGGACAACCCAGTTGTTATCATATTGCCATGACTGTGTAAAAGCATCTACTGCTTCTGTGCCAGGGCACCAAGATCTGGAATTGAATCTACACAACTTAGCATTATAATGACTAGCAAATCTATCAACAGTATGTGGACCCCACTTCTGGTTTAGCAACTTGAAGACAGCATCAGTAACAATCCAGTCATCAGCATCTTTAAATTTACTTAACGCATCTGCTCTGTCGTTCTCTGAACGTGGAATCCAGCTAAACTTTATCCTGATGTTATACATCCTAACCACGGTGAACACGGACATAGCAAGCTCCTGTAAGGATGAATTGAAACTACCAAAAGAAACAATTTGACAGCAAGCCTTGCTATCTGAGAACCACTTAACAGTCTGATTAGACAGAACCTCTCTGAAAACGTTCAAAGATAATTCAACAGCTTTCAACTCCCGCCAAGTTGAACTCTTGCCCACTTGATCCTCGTCCCATAAACACTGAAATATCCGGTCAGAATTCTGTATATAAGCAGCACAGCCCTTGGAACTAGCATCTGAGAAAACGGTCAAAACAGGAGCAAAAGTTTCATAAAATCTTCTGCTATTAAAAGTGTAAACATTATCTCTCCAGAATATAAGTTCAAATACACACAGGGGGTCAACTAGACTTTGCTTTCTATCCCAACTTGAAGCTCTTTGTATTACTGAATACATGCGTCTAGTCAAAAGTCTGCAGACATCCCCATAAACTGGTGAAAGAGAGATAATTTGTCCTGTTAAACTAGCCAGGTTACGTGCTGTGAATTGCGGTAAACCTGCCAAAACTCCTGCGCATGTGTTTCTCACATTATCTAATCTCCTAGAAGGAATAGATATCACACCTATGTCAAGATTCCAATTCAGCCCGAGCCATTCAAGGTGTCTTGTGGGTTCCCAAACTGACTTCTGATCGTTACAAACAAAGCCTGCTCTGCACAAAGAAGATTTAACAAAACCAGATCGCTCCTTGCCTAAGGCTTCAGACGAAGCAAACCCAAATCCATCATCTAAGTAAACTACAACATCTACAGAATGTTTTCTCCAGTATCTAACTAATGGCCTAAAACACTTAGTAAATATATAAGGGGCCGAGGTTAGACCAAAAGGTAAAACTGTGAAACAATAAAAACGCTGTACACCTTTAACTGACCAAGAAAAGCCCAAAAACGTGTGTTGACTAGGGTGAATATCTATGTGGTGATACCCAGACTTAAGATCAAACTTGTACATGTATCCACAAGGTCTAACGAAATCCAAAGCAATCTTGTAATCCTCAAAGACTATCTTTTCTTTCCAAACATATTTGTTTACCACTCTTAGGTCTAAAATCAACCTTTTCTTACCAGAGCTATTAATAGAAACTGATAGGGGATTTACAACCTGAGGTAAGTCTACGACTTCAACAATACAGTTGTTTAACAGGAGATCCTGGATAGCCTCAGAGACAAAGTCGCTATGTTTTACAGCAGAAGCGTTGTTCTTACTAATAGACAAGGGAGGCGACTCCACAAAGGGGATGATGTAACCTTTCATAATAGTTCTAATGATGAATTCTGGAGCTTCTATATCCTTCCAAAATGAGATGTGCCTCTTAAGATTTTCCTTAATGTTATGCTTACTCGCTGACGTATCTGTTCTGTCAAGATAACTAGGTACAGGTACAAAACCAGTACTAATACCTCTGGTTTCAGGTTTGACTTTGTCTATGGGTGAAACATCAAGCTGTGACCTACTACTAGGCTGTTCTGATATTGAACGGGAGACCTGTGGCAAATCCATGTTAGTTTTTCTTTTAATACTTCTGCTTGAGTTCTGATCCCCTGAAACATATGTAATACGATCTCAATCAAGATAGTAACGCATTAGCCACTCAAATATATATGTCATATCTCAAAAGTGGTTTTGATTTACCTGAATAATCACTGCTTTTTGCAGGCCTCTGTAGGCTGAAGTCCTTGTGGTGGGTTGAAATTACTTGACTGTGATGACCTCTGGGCGGCTGCAAGGGGACATGTGGCTCTCCAGTGCCCAAAGGCTCCGCAAAAGTAGCATTGTTGGTTTGGAAGTGGTGTTTTCCTGGGTTGAAAACGAAAGGGCTGGTTCTGCTGAACCTGAGGGGCCTGTTTGGGTAATTCGCTCACAGCAAAAAAAATGCAGTTTCCGGTATCCGGATACCTGCCGGATACCACCGGACACTTACCCAAAACGCGTCCGGGTATCCGGTGGCAGATACCTTGCCGGATACCAGATCTGTGGTATCCGGCATGGACACCTCACCGGAAAGTATGTCACCTGGAATCCGGGTATCCGGCACCGGATACCTCACCGGATACCTCAATCTGGGTGTCCAAGGATCCGGCACCGGATACCTCATTCTGAGTTTCCAAAAACATGTGACAATTTGGGGGGTGCATTTTGTTCAATTAAGTGTGAAACACCTAAAAATATATTGGAAACTAACCATGAAAATTGAACATTGCTGAAGGTATCCGGCAGGTATCCGGCAGGTATCCGGCAGGTATCCGGATGCAATTTTTCGAGATGTCTTTCTCCTAGTAAATAATGTTAGCCTGGGCATAGCAGATAGCTGTAGTAATATTCTGTGCTATTTTAGTTGTAAATATCCCCTTGAAGTTGAGATCTATGGGCATGTACTTTTGGTGAAAACATTTTTCATATATATTTCAATTTAGATGTTCAGCGTATTAAATGAAAAGCATTCAGTCCTGGTATGATGGTATCCTTACATATCATCTTCATATTCCCAGTTTGTTCTAGCCTAGTGGTTGAAGCATTCGATTCACCACATCGGTACATTGCTTGGTGTCACCCATCATAATATTGTTTGAATTTTGCTCATAAAGTGGCATAACACCATACTCAGTCTGACAAAAAAATGAAAGTCATTGGCTGTGTGCTCACTTGGGCCTTTGTTCCTGGTGAGATTAAAAGTTTATTTTGGAACTGTATCAATACTTGTTACATCTTGACAGACCAGTTTCATTGAAGTTCGAAACAGAATATCATTAACCCAAATGGGTGCATAAGACTAATGGCATCCACAGAAAACACCTAATAAAGTACTGGTACATAAAAATATCAATGTAACTTTTCTACTGACATGAAACTAAAAACTTCGTTCAGTGAGCTGTATTAATTGTAGGAAAACATTCAGGGCATTAGTATATTTGATATATGTTAGCACCTATGTTATGAATGATCAATATGATATTTCTTTAAAGAAGCAAAACACACAAATTGTTAAGATAAAAAATCATATTTATTGATTTTATGACATTTCATTGGTTCAGTAACCAGAGGTGTTTGCAAGAACATTCAAAAACAGAAACAGGTGCTTCAATGCCATTATGTAAATAAACAAATTAGTCAAATCTCAGAAGAATTTCAAGGTAGAAGAATATCTAAAGTCAATTATGTTTGTGCAGTAAACCACAAAAGTCATTCAGATTTGTAAAGTCAGCGTCAGTGTACACCACATAAACAGTCTCACTGCTGTGGTATTAATTCCTTTAGATTTGATTAAGAATCACACTGATGTGGCATTATTCATTCAGAATCATCACTTTCTGAGGTGAACCTGTTAGTTGTTCTGGGGAGGATTATTCATCATCCGGAGAGTCCTTTGTATGACTTGTCTGATCTGGTGTCAATGTGAAATCCAGGTGCCTGAAACAATTTATAACATCTTTAAAAGCTTGTTATTAAAAATATAGGAAACACACATATATTGACAAAGGGTAAAAATTTGGTTTCTCAATGAGTAAGGTAATGACAATTTATCAAGCAACTGTTAACCAAACCATGTTAACCAATGTAAAAAAGCCATAGCAAACAGTAAATTGTACAGAAAATACAAAATTGTAATTGATCTTCTGAAAACAATTCCTGTAGTGCCATAAGGCAGGCTCACCTGAATTTTTCTCAAATGTTTGCATTACATCAAAACATAAGGAAAGGTAAACAAGGCAATGCAAATTGCATAAAATAGGTTCTTATACATAAAAACAGAACTAAAGTATTTGACGTAATAAGCGCCTTGCTCTAATAAGCGTCCATGGGAATATTTGCTCATATATTGGCTAGTGAACAATCCCAATTAGCACCCTTTCCAATTAATCAATGTATACAAGACTTATTTATTTGCGTATAATACACACTTGTGTGTGATATGCATTATCATATTTTTATCATTTATCCTATCTTTAATTCAGATTAACAATAACGGCAAAAACTGCCAAATATATTGGTCAACTGTAATCATAATTTAAGTAGTTCTATTTGGTTTTGGAACTGTTCAAGGGTAATTGTAAATATATGTGTATTCCTATTTGAATACTCATTTGATTGTTATAAAGTTACACAGTATTGCATCTATCGTCTGTTTCTAAATACAGTGGAACCTATCTTTGACTTGTGTGACATAATTGAATCATACCCCAAGTTCATTATGCATTGTTATGCATCTGCACAGAGTGGTCAAATTCCTTGTCACACACATAGTTTGCTACAAGGCAGAATCCAATAAGTACAGTTGAGACATCAGGTTGTATCCAGACAAACTGTCTGATAATCTCAAGTATGGTCTTGGTCGCATCAAGGGATTTAGCTAATCCTAAATAAACATTAAACAAGTGACATAATCTCTTCTACAGAACACTTGATCAAAGCCTGCCCCACCTTTGATGTTTATCATCTCGTTACGCTCACAACAGCTCATTAGCAAGATGAGCTCAATGTCAACTCATGGTGGATTAGGGATTAACAGGGCAATTAGTGTCAGGTGGGTATTATCACTTGCAATTGTCTGTTAATTACTTAATTGAGTAGTGACGGCTTAGTTAGTTTCCAACCACACTTACTGTTATGCTACTTATCAAGTCAGTTTACTGGTAACATGTGTCTGTGGACCAAGGAAATGTATCATGCCAGATACTTAAAAAGTTCTACTCATAAGTAATAAAATAATGAGTTTTGATATGCAATTCTCCCTACAAAGACATTTAACATTTGATATACATAAACTGTCTGTTGAAACTATGATGATGCTAATATACAAGTCGCACAAAACAACCTATTCATACCTAGCCAAACATACATAATTTTTTTATGTGTATGCACATGGTTGTACACATATACCTCTACTGGCATATCACACATACCAACAATCATTAGATGGATGTAATCGTTCAAAAATATTTTACATACAAAAACAAGTGAACAGATTCTGTAATAGCATGGTTAATATTGGGAGATGTTTTAGCATTTCCATTTTCACAGAATCGAAGGCATATCCTTTCATGACTCAGATCAGCTTGTAGTGATTTAAATTCACATAAAACTGATTCATGTCAAATGACCTGTTATAAAAATACCATTCATTACTTATTTGTGTGTCCAAATTATGCTATTATTAGAAATAATAGGTATTATTATACAGCATGGATATGATATAAGAAAGCGTTATATGGAATTGTTGAAAATTATGTACAGGAAAACATTGAAATAAATCAATCAATACGTGCATTTATCTCAGAATCTGGTAGATTTAATCAATATGGACTTCTCCTTCATTATCTACTTATAATCAGATGATTACATTATTGCTCAACTGATAGTTTGCAATAGTATAGAATTAGTATTTTATTAATACTTATTTTGTATTTCAGCATCATTTAGATAAGCCATCGGCTTGTTTGCAAATCCAGTTCACTATAAAAAAAATATATGTTTAAAACACATGTAGTAGAACATATTGCAATAGTTAAGACCCGAAAAGAAGTTATGTGTAGGATCTTCAAAATGGTATCCACAAGAGCAGGTTGTAGAATCATGTTGGTGTTTGTTGTTTAACTCTGCACTCAGCCATATTCCAGCTATATGACCGCGGTCTGTAAATAATCAAGTCTGGACCAGTCTATCCAGTGATTGACATCATGAGCATCGATCCACACAATTGGGATACAATGACATGGATCAACCAAGTCAGCGAGCCTGATCACCCGATCCATTAAGTTATCTCTCACAACTAGCATAGGTTGATCATGTTGATGGGGACTAACTTCAACCTGGAATCCCCACGTGAGTAAGTATGCGGCTGTTAGCTTTGTTTGATGTTTAACGCCACACTCAGCAATATCGCAGCTATGTGGCAGGAATCAAACCTGGGTCTTCAGCACGAAGAGTGAACGCTTCAACCGCTAGGCTACCCCACCACCACAAATTCCCCCATGATAAAGTTGTCATCATGGTTATTGTTCAACTAGTTCAAGTGAAAATGTTCATACCCTTAAAATGTCTTATCTTCCACTTCACGATGATCTCTGATGCAAAACTTCCCTGTTATTAAAGCTGTTCTTGATTCTTCAAATCTGGAAAAATATGTTGAGGCTATTAATCATTCTCACAGAGTACAGGGAGTATATGAAATAAGACAGTGAGTCACATTAGCATACAAATTATCCAGTTAAAGTAAACATATTTCTACATTATATACATAAGCAAATACTAACATATGATAGACAGGCTACTTGTCATATAAAAATATAATTATACATTTACTTACATGTTGGCTATAAAAGTTAATGTGTCACATGTGACAGGCTTACATGTGGTAAATTACTTTAATACGTGGTCATTGTAATATTCACATATTCCTTACCTTAATGTGTCACTTCAGCTGCCAGCATGACCTCAGCTGCAATCTCAATATTTGGCCAGTTTTGACGAAATGACCGATCGTGTTCAGTGTATAAGCTGGGCCTCGTCTCTAATATAGCTTGGCGCAAGTTGACGACGCGCATAGAGAGCCGGGAACCAGCTTATGTCGTGTTAACCTGGTTCCCGGCTCCCTACGCGCGTCGTCAACTTGCGCCAAACAATAATGTGATATTAGAGACGGGGCCCAGCTTAGTGTTAACCCGGAACAAGCCATTTTACCCATATTCCCCTACGGTCCAGGGCGCCATTTTAGAACATGGATGTAAACAAACCTCGTGTATCGATATACACTGTGATTCTTGATTACGATAAGCTTACCTCGTGTATCGATACATTGTTCTCATTCACCTCCACCACGGAAATGCCGGCCGAAGTTCCTCTCAGCCATCCACAACGCGGAAATCAACAGTATTTGGAAAGGCGATTGGTATTGCCAGGTACGTAGCAGGGCTTCGAGGCCTTATGATTTCTGTGCAGAGATCTTATGGAACGGATTGATGTAGATATTTTCCTGCTCTACATACTTTACCGTAAACGCCAAGGGTCCTTTTTTTAGTATAATGGTCAACTGTTGGTTAGCATAAGGGGCGTAATGGATTTGTGGTCAAAACAAGATGATCCAAATTAGATCCGCTTTTTTATAGATAATGAAGAAAAGTACCAAGATCTAGGAACGATTATTAACTCTAAACTTTCGTGGGATGCTAATACAGATTATAATTTACAATAATGGCCACCAAAGACTTTATTTTTTTTACGCTTAGGATATTGTTATAATTACACTGTTATGTCCTTGTTTTGTATAAGCTTCATAACTTAATCATTCAATATTTCATGGAATGACTCTGACCTTGGCGAGGATCTTTTTTGCAACAAGTGATTCCTTATGTAAAGTGTATGTTGAATGACCCTGGCTTTGTTGTCAAATAATTGTTTGACAGTTGTTAAATATGGGGTTATGTTTTATCTCTGAATGTTTGGGATGAAATATTTTAATAAGGACAGTTCTAAGTTGGAAACTCAACTGAGGCCTTTTCAATTGAATTCAATGTACAGCATGTACAGTTTGGACATTTCTCTAATGTGAATGCTACTTATGTTTGCAGAATGTCTGGATGAATGAATGAGTCAGTCATCTGCACAGCATCAATGGAAAAAGGGAAGCAATGAGGAACAAGAGAAGAGTAGCAGTGAGTGGTAAATATTTGAAATTATTCTGTTTGGTTCATCATGTTCATGTAGCTATTCTGCAAATATTTCTTCAGTTTGCTTGTTCTTTATCACCTGTTGGCATGGATGGCCTAATTATCAAAGACACTACAACTTGCTGTGCATAGTTGCATCTCTTGGGCTTGACAGAAACCGATGGTCGTGGGTTTGAATCGAGGGTAGCATCATACACTTGCTTGTGGGTTTCATCAAAGTGGTAAACATGTAAGACCTGCATCACTTCGGGCTTTCTTCCCACATCAAGCTTACATGCCGTGATATAACTGGAATACTGTTCAAAGAGGCGTTAAACCCAATTCACTCATTTAACACAACATCCAGCAATAGTTCGGCTAAATGACAAGGATTATAAATTAATCAAATCTCAAATCTCAACTAGACAAACCAGAGATTAATGTTATGAGCTCGATCCAGACGCACCGATGATGACTGTTATGGACAACATCCCACGTTATTGGGTACGATTACGAGCTTTCAATGAGCCCACTTGCTACCTCATCTATTACTTTGGCTTGTATGGCAAGCATAGGTTGCTAGGAACATTTTTAAGAGATGTCAGTTAATGATTGTTTCAACTCATCAGCATGGAACAATATATATCTCAAATGTTTGGTGTATAACTAAACTCAAAGATGATAAATTAAGTGAATTTGCTGCCTTTTATCTGTAAGTACATGTTGCAACAATTCTTTTCTTTTGCTACAATCTTTATACATAATTTTGCAGAAACTGAAGTCCAGCTTGAGATACCCGGATGACAGGTTGACAGTCTGGAAGGACCCTTCAAGATATCCGAAGTGATTGGCAGACAGCGATGAGGAGAGTCCTGTTATTTCAATGGGAGCCTACCGAGAAGTTATATGCCAATTGACACTGGGACACACTCACAAAGGGTGGTCAGGCTAATGTGAGAAGACCAACCAATGCCAAGTCGGAGTGGGACCCTTCAAGGACGTTGAAGAAATTATTGTCTTTGGCCATGTGGTAATCACTTGAAAGGAATGATGTTTGCGACTACTTGTCTATAAATGTGGACCCAAACACCAAATAGAATGTTCACAATTCTACTAACACAATGCAACAGGGATAGAGCCCATCTGGCCTCCCCTCATCCTGGTTCCTGTTTTTCCATGGCAATATAGAAGGAAAAGGATGTTTGAGGGCAAGTAACTCTGAACTGGTGAGCATGGTCTGCTGATGCTTTCAAGCGAACAGTTATCCCGCTCTGTTATGAGTATTGAAGAATGGGAGGAAAGTGCATACTGCATCAGGAACCATTATGTGAACACTGTTCAATGTGTGATATATGCATATAAATAAAAGAAATTGATAATTTGTTTGTTGTTTGTTTCTTTAGCCAGCTGTGTAAATGGGGATTTTCCAATATTTTGCCTCAGTTTGATAGCCACAGTTATCGTATAAACCCATGCATTGCTCGGACATCTTTGGAATAACACATTGATCTGCTATGTCAAAGGTCAATGTCACAGCCAGACAAAAAAATTGTTAATGGCCAAACTCTTCCTTAGGGCAGGGATAGAAGTTGGCAACAGGTCATACACTTACTTTTTATCCCCCGGCATATAATACGGGGGATATAGTGATCAGCCTGTCTGTCCGTCTGTCCGTCCGTAATCATTTCCTTTTCCGGGGCAGGATTCCCAAACCATTCAGTGTATTTGATCGAAACTTGGCAACTCTTATCAGGCACATACTGAAGTGGTGCCTTTTGATATTTTGGGATTTTTCTAATTTTTATTTTTTTAAATTTTTATGGAATGAAGTTGGACATAGACTCAATTGGGGATGGGGTTCGTTTCCGGGGCAGAATTCGAAAACCATTCAGTGTATTTGATCGAAACTTGGCAAAGCTATCATGCACATGCTGAAGTGGTGCCTTTCAAATTTTGGGATTTTTCTAATTTTTATTTTTTAATTTTTTTTATGGAATGAAGTTGGACATAGACTCAATTGGGGATGAGGTTCATTTCTGGGGCAGAATTCGAAAAACATTCAATGTATTTGATCGAAACTTGGCATTCATATGGATGCGACCATGGTGGATCTTTTGTGGGTAAACAATGTATGCTTCTTAAAGAACATTCAACTGTTGACTCATTACATACAGAAATGCACTAGTGGTTACTTTACAGACAGCTGCCGGGGGGATATGTCATCTTTCTGATGACTCTTGTTCTCTAATGTGCCTTTTCCTGCAGAAGTCTAAATAACTCTTATACACATAGTTGTATATCATTGTCATATGTTTGTCAATATTACACTGAATGAAGCACTTTACAATTGTTTTTGAAATAGTCGCAACTGATATTGAAGGTCAAATTAGCTTTCAATGTCTTTCAGTAAAAATGTTCACAGTAACTGAGGAACAGCTCTCTGTAGTGTGATGAAATCTGGTACATGTCACCCTCAGAGTGAGGCATATTGTGTTTCAAACTTAAATGAAGCTGGTATGCTCATAACAAGTACTTGTACCTTTACAAATAATCATATTATCATCTCACTAGGACCAAAGGCCCAAGTGAGCACACAGTCGATGAGTTTATACTTTCACTCAGAATAATCTGGAAGTCTGAACATGAAATTTAAGGATATCATCATACATGTATTAGAACTGATGTTTGTTCATTAAACAGCTTAACATCTAAAAAGAATTATAGATGAAATTGAAAAAAATTGTCTTCTCCAAAAGTACATGCCCATAGATCTCAACTTTAAGGGGATATTTACAACTAAAATGACACAGAATATTACTACAGCTATCTGATATGCCCAGGCTAACATTATTTACCAGAAATAAGACATCTCGAAAAATTGCATCCGGATACCTGCCGGATACCTGCCGGATACCTTCAGCAATGTTCAATTTTTATGGTTAGTTTCCAATATATATTTAGGTGTTTCACACTTAATTGAACAAAATGCACCCCCAAATTGTGACATGTTTTTGGAAACTCAGAATGAGGTATCCGGTGCCGGATTCTTGGTATCCGGTGCGGATCCTTGGACACCCAGATTGAGGTATCCGGTGAGGTATCCGGTGCCGGATACCCGGATTCCAGGTGGCATACTTTCAGGTGAGGTGTCCATGCCGGATACCACGGATCTGGTATCCGGCAAGGTATCTGCCACCGGATACCCGGACGCGTTTTGGGTAAGTGTCCGGTGGTATCCGGCAGGTATCCGGATACCGGAAACTGCATTTTTTTTGCTGTGGCTGTTAGGATTGGGGAAAGTTGCAGAAGGATAAGGACTATAACCTCTACCACGGGAATTGAAAGAAGTAGGGCGCTTTCTGCGCTGTGCCTTACTTTCTGCTCTCTCGAAACGTCTCTCTTCATCCGAGTTTGAAGCCAACTCATCCCCTTCCAACTCCGAGACTACTGCCCAACCGGCTGTAGATCTGTCTGCAAGTCCTTCAACAGAATCCTGTGCTTTGTTAGGTTGACCAGGAATGTGTAGTTCTTCAATGGAGTCAAGATTTTCCTGCTGTGGTGAATCCATTCCGAACAAAGAAGACAACAGCTCGCCTGTGTGACGTGAAGGCCTCGAGTGGTGTTTCTTGCCCTCTCCTCTGCACCTTAAGCACGTGACGCCACCGCTTTCACGTGCACAGCCTTCTTCAAATCACATTCGTTACCGTATTTACCCCATAGTAAATACATTTCTTTGGTTGTGTGTTTGAGTCATACTACTGCTGCTGATGACTGTTTGAGGCGGCGCGGTTGTATTTCCAGAAGCAATACACGACAATGTGGTGCTCAGTGATTTCTTTTGGTAAGTCAACCATTCTCTGTTATAGCCTTGCATGGACGCTTCATTCGGGTAACCCGACATACACATGATCTGTCTGGCTGGAAAGTTTGAACCATTCATAGTCTTAATCGATGTCTCCTAAAGTTGTTATGTATGTCTCCGCATTCGGATCTGGTTTGGTGCTTAAAATATGAAATCTGCATAATCGAGTGTATCACGTATTTCTAACTTTGGCTTTGTGAAATAATGTGTTATGTTTCTTGTATTTCCAAATATGTCAATTATTTTATCAAAATAAAGCACTCCACTACTACCATACCTGAAGTGATGTTGCAATAATCCCCTCTGTATGTACCACTGCAGCCTATTGTGCATTGTCCATTTCCCTGATTGCAGGTTTTGTGCAGACAGCCTCCGCTGCAAAGAATATCACACAGATCGCCATGATGTCCAGGAACGCATCCCTCAGAACACATCCCAGTGTACTTTTGACAGTGGCGAAGGTTCCTTACAGGATCAGAGTTACAAGTCAAAGGGCAGTTCTTGTCGCAGTTCTCGCCATATATTCCCCAGGAACATTGCTGACCACCATGGGCTTGTGATGCTGGAATAGGATTATACGTGACATATTATATATCAGACAACAAAGAATTTACCATATATTTATGTATATTTTATAAATCGGGGAATTCCCCTAAAGTTGTTCTGTATGTCTCCGCTCGATTGACAGCGTAAGCACGTGACATACTTACTTTCATCGGTAAATGAACGACAGTCACCTTGTTAGTGTTCACATGGGCGAGGTTTTCCGCTACTGTCAATATTTCCACTTGCCTCTACCAACACAGTCCTCCCATGACATTTTAGAATCATGCATTCGGATCTTTTTTGGAGCTTAAAATATGAAATCTGCATAATCGAGTGTATCACGTATTTCTAACTTTGGCTTTGTGAAATAATGTGATATGTTTCCTGATTTCAAAATATGTCAATTATCTTCACAAATTTAAGCACTCCACTACCACCATACCTGAAGTGATGTTGCAATAATCCCCACTGTATGTACCACTGCAGCCTATTGTGCATTGTCCATTTCCCTGATTGCAGGTTTTGTGCAGACAGCCTCCGCTGCAAAGAATATTACACTGATCGCCATGATGGCCTGGCACGCATCCCTCAGAACACTTCCCAGTGTACTTTTGACAGTGGCGAAGGTTCTTTACAGGATCAGTGTTGCAGGTCAAAGGGCAGTTCTTGTCGCAGTTCTCGCCATATATTCCCCAGGAACATTGCTGACCATGGGCTTGTGATGCTGGAATAGGATTATACGTGATATATTATATATCAGACTACGAAGAATTTACCTTCACTTTGTGTGAGTTCATTGGAGTATGGACTTTCTGAGAGTGGTGGCCAAACTGTGAAACGTCGGAACTTGTTCATACAATGTTTTACCCTCAATAAGTGAGTGAATGAGTGAATATTTAAAGACACACCATCAGTATTTTAAACCCTCAATAAATGCTTATAATTGTTTATATCACTAGTGTATACCTCGATGTACGTATTACACAGTTTCGTGAAGTATACGTGACTTCATGTTCACACTGACAGACATACAACAACCTACCAACCAACCAGTCAACACGTTTTCCCAGTTTTGTTACAACAACTAGATCCAAATAATACCATTTAATGAAAAAGGTGTCTTACATCGCTGCATCAGTAAGTTAGTCCATGTGACAGCAAGTCACAATACATGTTCACAAAGTACTTGACGTCAAAAATGGCCGAGACATAAACGTGAGAGGTGAGATTTCCAAAGTTGTTCATGAGCCAGTGGCGATTGCAAGTGTCAGTCATCATTGATCAATTGGTCGATCATTGAAAGGTGATAACAAAGATATGTCAAATAATTGTAAATGTACTCACTGATAAACAACAGAACTAGTTGTGGCCACATCTTTGATAGTTGTCTGGCTGTTACAATACCTGTTAGAAAATATATTTACAGAAACTTGAAAAACATGGAGCTGTGCAGAAATTGACAATCCTGATAAAATGTGTGATTTTGATTAATAATATAATACTATGTAAATATGTGTCCTACCAAACGTCATGTCGTTCTTTGTGCAAGGACACACAATCTGCATCAAACCATATGTATTAATGGACAGCTAAATCCGTACATCATCTGACATTTAACCATCATGCAAAGCTGAAATGTGTGTTTGTTATTTGACAGCAATGATCCAGCTATTTGACCGGGGCCTGTAAATAAAAACGAAATAAACAACGATACGACAACAGCAATTAATCAAATCATGTCCACACGATTGATTTAGTTGCCTACTATGGCAAGGAGTGGTCTTGGGGCCTTATTGTACCCCAAAATCCCCACACGGAGATGGGCCAAATAATAAGCCATGTTTATTAGAGATATAGCAAGATTTTTTTACAAACACAAATTAAACCTTATGAATGAATGGCCGTCAGTAAGACCAAGGGCACACACAGCTTGTTATTCAACGATAAAAAACAGGAAGTTTGACTTCACTACATGCAAAATGAGAGCATTGAAAACATGTCACTTAGGAATGCCACCTGGTTGATTGTGGGGCGTCAGTTACAACAGTTAGCATCCTGTTTTGACTGGTGTTCAGTAGACGTCGTCCTGGGTGTCGTTTATTTCTTATTTGAGATGTCAACATAATGTACAACCTCTTTATGGATGTTGACAAAATCTGCAAGATGTTTATAAGAATGACTGCCTGAATAAAATCCAACCTCGGAAAATTCGGACAAAACCATTTTAAATATGTAATTTCCCGCACATTCTTACGATCTTCAGGCCGATTATCTGTACCTTTTCCCCTGTTACCAATTGCCATGTATATCCTACGTTTTGATGCGATCGTTCGGCCACTGGGTATATCTGCGAACCGATCTAAAAGCTTCCAAAACAGTAAATCTTAGAATGAACGTGAGCGTGAACAATAAGTGCCTCACTGCACTCTTTGAAAAGCGGAAATACCAACTTGGATATAAACACAAACACGGTTTACTGAGCAGCATTTACGACAAGTGGCAAACAATGTCATTCAAATAATAGCAATTACACAATAGGCATCCCGTGAGTTAGCACTGCTGGGGTTATCACCACTCGTGTCAAACTGGGCATCATTGACCACCATAGCAGTCCAGACAGACGCCACCAACGCAACACTTCGTAAAAAGCCATCACAACCCAGCACGCACTGATAGGCTTCATCACACTCCTCAGATATACAGCCTTTGTCTTGTCATCTGCCTTCAAGTTTGTTGGCACCTTATCCGCATTCCAGTCAGTGAACTGTTGCTGGCTCAATTATTTTATAGCCTTTGAACTTCCTTAATTCAAGTCAACAGAATAACCATATAAACCGTCTGTTGTTTTTGTTTATTGTTTTTACTTGTGGGCTAATAGGTGGTGCTATTTGATGTTTGATTGGATCAAGATAAATTTGGATAAAGGTAAAGATATGTGCTGGTGATTGAGTGCGGGGAGTCGCATTGATATTTTGTCGCATTTTGGGGGTCAGCAGTCGTATTAATTTGGAGAAGCATTCATTTCAAGCTTTACAGTATATGACGTCATTCAAATCTCCGGAAATGATGTCATGATAGTACAATGTTTTATCGTTGTTCTTCATTGTTCTTTTCCATTTACTGTGTAGCTATCTCACAACGTCAACAACATGAGAAACATTCCATGCAAGTGACGTACGCCACATCTCAGAGCCTGATCACCCGATCCTCAGTGCCCTACATGGGGACTTCATTTAGTCTCAACTGAAACTATACATACGTCAAAACAAAACAGCTTTTCACTCAAGTTATGTTTACTAAATACTGCGAGTAAATGCTTCCTGCTGCACTCGAATGATCACCGAAACAAGCTGTGTTGTTTTCCTGGTGACATGGAATATGAAAGTCGGCACAAAATTAAAACCCGTATTTCTTGAAACTGAACACAGATATTAGGTCACTTCACTGATGTTGGTGTGTCCAGTTGCACAGTGTTTATAGGCTACCTTATTCCCCTGTGCCTTGGTTTGTGTCTTATTGCACATAGAAGAAAATAATGGTTGTTTTGGAGCTGTTGGCAATCGCTGGCATTGTTATGTCCATACAAGGTAAATCCAGTAAATACAATATCCGGGTTAGCATAACAATGTTATTAGTTTATGGTATTGTTTACATTACATCACGGCTATTGACATAACCTTCACAGGTACATATGGACACTATTTATTAACAAATCTCTTCCAGCTGCACCATGCGGAGAAGGGCAGCACTGCTCAGACTGTGATAACAAGACGGGACATTGCCTCAAAGAGTGTGACCTTGGATATTTCGACCTGAAGTGCAGCTCCGTTTGCAGCAAGGAGTGCAAAAAAGGCATGTGCCACACGTCAACGATTGGCATTGGCGTCTGTACCGAAGGATGTGCACCTGGATACCAAGGAAGTAGGTGCCTCATACCATGTGACAGTTCAGTCAGTGAATGTATGGCTTGTCCAGGTGGTTGTGATGGAGGATATTGTCAGCTGGGCTCCTCCTGTGTGTCTGGATGCATTGATGGATACTACGGCACTGACTGCAAGACGTGTTCAGGTAGATGTAGATCGTGCAACAAGAGATCAGGAACATGCACGGAGTGTCATCCGCCATATTTCGGCCTGAACTGTGAGTATTCATGTGACCGCTGCAAGGAACCATGTGACTTTGGATGTCTCCATGGATGTGTACCTGGATTTCAGGGCATCTTTTGTAGTAAGAATTGCAGTAAAAACTGTCGGGCCAACCACACCCATGTCAACAAAACATCTGATATTTCTGAGTGCAACGAGAAGACTGGAGATTGCATCTATGGATGTAAAGATGGCTGGTCTGGTTCACTATGCTCCCATAAAGGTAAGTCTAAATTTGTTGTCACGGTTTTCAATAGTTGTATTATCAAACATTCTGCGGGTGCAACTCATCAAGTGATTGATGTACACTGATCCAGTGATTGACCCATTGTCATCAAAAGTATTTCTTGAAGAGTTGCCTGGTGGAACGGATCAAATATGCCATTATGGATTATCATTATAATATATTGATGGGATATTTCTCGAACTTCGTTTTAACATGATATCAGGGAAAAGTAACTTTTCTTCAAATGAAGTTCCCAAAAAACTTAAATTCTGAACTAAAGTAATACTTTCAATACATATTCATTATGTCATATCCTCGACTTTAAGGTAATCATTCCCAATTTGCACGTGCATTTTACTGCACGACGCACGATTTGGATGAGTACGTGTTTGTTGGGAGCATTTTGTTCCCTAGTTTTGGTCCCTTTAACGGTTGAGGTAGCACAACATCCGGCCCCACTGTCCAACGATACACCCAATTGTCTTGCCACGTCAACATCAGGCAGCATCAGGGGTTTAGAAGGCAACTGTGGGACAGTTTACTGTTCATAGATGAATCCAGGTTTTGAATATGTCACATACATATATTCCCAAAACTCGAGAACGATCAAAAGAATAGCAATGTTCTGTGCTGGATTTTCATTTACTTAAATTGAAATATCAAAATCATGTTGGTAAAGAAACGCACGGGTATTTATATCTTTCAGATTGGAAAACGCAAGTTACTGTCGCTATGAAAATAGGACTACCAACAGCAGCATCACTTCTAATATTAATGATCTTACTGGCAGTGTGCTATCACTTTCGGAAATCCTTGGGAATTGAACGGTAAGATCATTACAGAAGCAATGAGATAGCTCTGTGTTCCAAGGCATATCCCATTGTCCCCGTCCCCAGGTAGCGTTTGTAGTGCCCAAACCGCCGATTGTAAAACAACAGCGTCCCTGTTAAATATTGTCAAAACATAAACAACAGATATTATTGTAACAATAAATGTGTTCAACTCGGTTGGGATATTACCGATAAGATCACAGGACTAAAACAGTCAGTATATTACGGCATTGACGATTTACACATACAACTGGCACTGAATTAAATCTGAAAAAAAACTTAAATGACTTTACATAGATATTGCTTAAGATGTTATTTAGTAAATATCTGAAATGAAAATCTATAACATGTTGTTTTTTTTCAAATTTTCTAAATGGATGTTTACTTCAGCGCTATGACTTCTACAAACTACGATTGTACAATAAAAATATTGGTAATTTTTTTATAAATGTAAAATGTTACGGTGATAAGATAAATGAATCTGGTTTCTGATAAAGGAGTTTGACAATCATTATGTGCGATATGGCAACTGATCAGGATTAATACGAACATATTAAAAACGAATTGGTTCATCTTGTAAACATTACTTTGCGCGTGACATTCCTGTATGGTCCACATGCTGTAAGTATTTATACTATATATTCTCACAGCAGGGGCATCCAGGCCGACAACCCTGTAGTAAACATTGTGCGTGGATACAAAGACAGTCATGCAGTTGAGTACCATGGGTATTGTGAAATTCTAGCAGACGACATCAACAGAAGCGAACCACCATCCATCAACCAAGGACAAGGAAGGGATTCTGCAATGCCTGTTTTGGCAGACTGCTTCCCTGCCGCAGGTCACGTCCCAGGAGGTCCACCACACGCCCGTCCAGTGCGTGATAGCAGTGTTGGTGACCCCGGAACAGCTGTCAACTACATATCACCAGTTGAGTGACACTGGACAGGAAATAGTAGATCAAAATGTCTACATCAAGCGTACAGTTGTTCTTGTTCAGGAACACTCACACGAAATGTGTTCTAGATGCATTTGATACATTTTTTATCTCCCATTTGTTGATCTTGTTGTTGTTTTGAGAAAAGTACTAGTATCGTTACTGATATGGTACGTTGAACGAATAAGATGTGTTTCATCGATCAGTCAATATCGTCTTCATTGTCACTACAGACGCTTCAAAATGTTACTGATATCATTTGTTTGTTTGTTTGTTGTTCAGGAATATTCCAGCTATATGACGGCGGTATGTAAATAATCGAGTCTGGACCAGACAATCCAGAAACGCAATTGGGATAGGAGTACATGCATTAACCAAGTCAGTGAGCCTGACACCCGGTCCCGTTAGTTGCCTCTTACGAGAAGCACAGTCGCCTTCTACGGCAAGCATGGATTGCTTAAGACCTATTCTAACCCGGATCTTCACGGGCCCACTGATACCGAAGTGACGTGTGTTTTTTAGCATAATTGTGTGAGTGTGACATCTATATTCGGAATCATTCTGAGCCATCACGTATACCCCATCAACCACAGGAGACGCGCATACGTTTCTTGTCACTTGTATTAATGTACCATCGGATATGATCAGCATCCTTAATATAGAAAATAGAACATCATACATGATTTTAACATTTGAAAAATGTCAATAGTTTCGATTACTCATACACATTACGTATCAATACTTTTTATTCATAACAAGTGCTGTAAACACCCTGGCGTCTTTCATACACCAACATATGGTACCTTTTCACGATCATACAAATAGTGCTGACCACAACAGACAACATTCAAGTGATGTTCCTTTGTAGTGTGTAGTGAGTTCGTTTGTGGGCGTATGATGCCATTGCAAAACACGCAAGCAGTATTCTGTTGACCTTCACTCTACTTGACCTACTCTCACACGGCAAAGTAAATGTTTCCCTCTCTCGCATTATCGCTGATGTGATACACTACATGACAGACATGTTTATATTGTGTTGTCGATAAGGCCTCTGGACAAAATAGTTTGTATAGATTAAGAGTTAATTTGAGTGAGTGAGTGAGTGAGTGAGTGAGTGAGTGAGTGAGTGAGTGAGTGAGTGAGTGAGTGAGTGAGTGAGTGAGTGAGTGAGTGAGTGAGTGTGTGTGTGACAAAGTTGAGACATAGTTGTAGCTGTTTTTCTATCACAAACATATTTTTACGAAGTGATCAAACAGGGTAGACCCTATTCGCACTTGATTTTTTTTTAAACAGCCCCTCGATTCAAATTCAAGGAAATCTTTTTTTTAAAAATACCATGTGTCCACGTTATATCATATGCTTGTTTAAGGTCGAAAATTATTTATACAGGATGTTGATTCTCAATGGAATTTCTAAAAAATGAGTCTAGACGCAGCTGATGATCACTGTGCCATCTGTTTGTTTTTGTAACACTGGGTGTCACTCAGGAACGTTATTTGCCTCAAAGTACCAGACTAAGCAATTGTAGACCATGAACTCCATGTATATATTTTAGGAACTTATAGTGGATGTTGTCAGCTCCTGCTGCAGTGTCATGAGCTTGCCCTTGGGCAGTATGTAATTTTTGGAGGAAAAAGATTCCATTGTAGTCCTCACTTCACCCTCTCAAACCGGCACCTCATCCTCTCAATCCCACACATCAAGCTCTCAACCCTGCACCTCACCCTCTCAATATCACGCCTTAACCTCTCAACAACTGCATCTCACCCTCTCAATCCCACTTACCACCCTCCCTCTCAATCAGCAACTCCACATTCAATCCCACTTACCACCCTCCCTCTCAATCAGCAACTCCACATTCAATCCCACTTACCACCCTCCCTCTCAATCAGCAACTCCACATTCAATCCCACTTACCACCCTCCCTCTCAATCAGCAACTCCACATTCAATCCCACTTACCACCCTCCCTCTCAATCCGCTACACCACATTCAATCCCACTTACCACCCTCCCTCTCAATCAGCAACTCCACATTCAATCCCACTTACCACCCTCCCTCTCAATCAGCAACTCCACATTCAATCCCACTTACCACCCTCCCTCTCAATCAGCTGCACCACATTCAATCCCACTTACCACCCTCCCTCTCAATCAGCAACTTCACAATCAATCCCACTTACCACCCTCCCGCTCAATCAGCTGCACCACATTGAATCCCACTCACCACCCTCCCTCTCAATCAGCAACACCACACTCAATCCCACTTACCACCCTCCCTCTCAATCAGCAACTCTACATTCAATCCCACTTACCACCCTCCCTCTCAATCAGCAACTCTACATTCAATCCCACTTACCACCCTCCCTCTCAATTAGCAACTCTACATTCAATCCCACTTACCACCCTCCCTCTTAATCAGCAACACCACATTCAATCCCACTTACCACCCTCCCTCTCAATCAGCAACACCACATTCAATCCCACTTACCACCCTCCCTCTCAATCAGCTACAACACATTCAATCCCACTTACCACCCTCCCTCTCAATCAGCAACTCTACATTCAATCCCACTTACCACCCTCCCTCTCAATCAGCAACTCCACATTCAATCCCACTTGCCACCCTCCCTCTCAATCAGCAACACCACAATCAATCCCACTTACCGCCCTCCCTCTCAGTCAGCTACACCACATTCAATCCCCCTTGCCACCCTCCCTCTCAATCAGCAACACCACAATCAATCCCACTTACCACCCTCCCTCTCAATCAGCAACTCCACATCCAATCCCACTTGCCACCCTCCCTCTTAATCAGCAACACCACATTCAATCCCACTTACCACCCTCCCTCTCAATCAGCAACACCACAATCAATCCCACTTACCACCCTCCCTCTCAATCAGCTACAACACATTCAATCCCACTTACCACCCTCCCTATCAATCAGCAACACTACAATCAATCCCACTTACCACCCTCCCTTTCAATAAGCTACACCACAATCAATCCCATACACCTTCTCTTTCAACCCCGCACCTCTCTACCTCATCAAAGCACTCCTTGGCCTCCACCGGACACCATCCGACGCCACCCCACCCCACCCCACCACACCACACCCCACCCCACCCCACTGCCCCAACTCCGCACCTGCCCACCTCTCTCCAGCTCAAATTCATACCGTCGAATGCTGACGCTGCACTTCCTCAACAAGAACCAAAACCTATCACATCAGTATTTCAACAACAAAGCACACCGTCACAGTGTTGCGAAACTTCTCGGTTTTCCGCGTCGGGCGTATTCCCCGAGAATACAGTGTGGTCGTAGCCTACTGTGTGTGGGGTTCACGGGTAGCTACAGTCAGGGAACAAGATCGGGTACTATCACAAATACCATCATCAATATTACAGGCTGGTTACAGCAATAATGGATATTAATAAACAAATATATATAAATTACAATCGTTTGTGTTTCTATATCTTTTCGTTTATTGCTTAAAACCTTCCACCCCTCTGGGCAAGTCTACTCGTTCCGAGTTTTCAGGCGGCATGATATGCAAAGTCTGGTGACATGACTTTTCCAGTGACCCATTGCGATTTCTTAAATCACTTGCTCTTAATAACGGAGAGTGTTATCCGAGTCGCGAAATTCTATACTTGAATCGACGTGCACTGACAATATGTTATCTATTATTCATTCAGAAGGACAAAGTTCAGCCAGACAGGATGTATTTTATACGACACTCTATTTCCTATATAGTCTTTGCAGTTTGATAACTTTACTGATGCTGAAACCGATTTTAATACATTGGCATAATTCCAAATGTAACCCGTTAGAGATAAAAATTGGCAGTAGCTATTATTAACATCAGTTACCATATTATACATTATGAGAGGTCAAACGGGTAACACATTGTAAATGTACGGGGGCACGGGTGGCCCAGTCGTCTAAGGCGCCGTGATTGGCTGTGCAGAGTTGCGTCCCTTGGGCACGCCAGAAACCTATGATTGTGGGTTCGAGTCCCGGTTCGCCCCGATTATGTTTCTAGGTTTGTCAGCACCATACCCGTGCTCATGGGTTTCACCGAAGTGGTAAACGTCGAAGACCTGCATCACTTCGGACTTTTCTCCCACATTCAGCTGACACGCTGCGTGAAACACAACTCACTCACTGTAAATGTACGAACAACACAAAAGGCCATAGACAGACGCGGGCACTTGTTTATACATCAAACTAGGTGTATAACGAACACGCTTATAACGAACTGGCGGATATAACAAACTGTTTTTTAGGTCCCTGCCATTTGCTGTATATATGTTGTATATATGCTTATTACGAACTACAGTTAAAACGAACTAAAATTTGTGGTCCCTTTGAGTTCGCTTTAGCCGTAATTTACTGTATATTCCTATCAAACAATGTTGGTCAATTTCAGGTTACAGGACAAGGGGGCTAATTTATGAAAAAAAGTGTGACCACTCTTTCGGTCGCGTAACATTTGTATTGTTAAACTGTCACATTGATTACTTAACACTCCCCATCTGACGCCTACAAAGACGCTGAATACCACCAAATGCTGCCAACATGAAACCTGGGCTCATCTGTGATGAGGACTGACCGCTCAGATGTGGCCCTCCACTAAGATGCTTTTCACACTTAAAACATTTTAACTATTATCTCCTGGTTTATATTTTGACTCCCACGTGTACTGAGGATGTGATGAATGTGGGTAATCATGGGAAATGTTTACAATGCATGATTCTGAAAACCAAAAGGCAAAATTAATTTAATGTGATTGTTTATGGTTCACAGGATTTTGTTTTTGCTTGTATATGTCGATGTTTTGAGGTATATCATTTGCAGCATAAACTCAAATCCAGCGCTGATATGCATCACCCCGAATGCGCAAATACACTTAAGGTGGGGTCAAAGGGGAAAAAACCCCCATACATTTCAATAAATATATTACGGAGAACACCGTGCCATGAAGATCGACCGATCGAGAGCAGTCGTAAGTTCATTAAGCACATTATAAACAGTGCTGATCCCTGCTTTTCCTTCGGTCTCGAGATGTAAATGTTAGCCACTTTGTAAATCCAGTACATCCCTGTTCCTGTACATGTCCCAAGCCCCGTGTTAGAAGACGAGACGTGATGAAGTAACGTTTGTGTGTCAAAGTAATGATTATATACTGTACTTACCGGATATATGCTTCACTGTCGTTGATGATGTCCCCCCCTTTTCCTTCACACTGCCGGAGATATGACACAACATGCTACGGGTACAGTTGGTTCAATCCCGGTGCACACGTCAAGAGGACATTTATGATTTATGATTCATCTTTAGTCAAAGCTGGCTTCATTATACAGGATCTATTCAACTATTAATACCCTGAATGATAAAACGCTTTTGATAATTTTTGAGGGAGACCATGTTCCTTTTTGTCAACAGTGATGCATTATTGTTCCGTGAATTTTAATACGGCCTATACAGTTACGTCGTGTTGCTTCACTTTCAGTTTCCAGGTGAGCTGTGTGAACAATAGAAGGGAACGTAGCTCGCTATGTCCAACCAGGAAGTAGCATATCTGCACGTCATTGTCGAGCCTCTTTCCTCGAAAAGGGGTCGTGCCTACTAAATGTGGAGTCGGCTATCAGTGTTGTTAGCTCGAAGTACATTCAAACTGTGTAATGTGCAGTGAATGTGTTAATTTTGTGAAGTATAACTGGCTTATCTGCAAGTTTGAGATCGCACCTTAGATTTCCATTGGTGTGTACGATGTGGCAGATATTGTTGATATGCTTCACAAAGTTGAGTCAGTTGGGTTTAACGCCGCTTTTAACAGTATTCCAGTTATATCACAGCATGCCAGCTTAATGTGGGAGGAAGGCCCGAAGTGATGCAGGTCTTAGACGTTTACCACTTCGATGAAATCCACGAGCACGGGTATGGTGCTGACAAACCTAGAAACATAATTCAGGCACACTGGGAATAGAACCTGCAATCATAGGTTTCTGGCGTGTCCAAGGGACGCAACTAGGCTCAGCAAATCGCGGCGCCTTTGTCGACTGGGCCACCCGTGCCCCCGCTTCACAAACTTCTCCATGTGGATGACGAACAAAATGCAACATCGTTAATTCCCATGATACGCTGACTAGTTTATCCCAACAGATCAAAACACGTTTATGCTAAAGTGAGTGAGTGACTATAGTTTTGCGCCGCTTTGAGCAATATTCCAGCAAAATCACGGCGGGGGACACCAGAAATGGGCTTTACACATTGTATCCATGTCGGGAATCGTACCCGGGTCTTCAGCGTTACGAGCGAACGCTTTAACCATTAGTGTTTTGTCACACTAAAGAATACGAATACAAAAGGGATGTGATAAAAAAACACCCCCAGTTAATGTTATTGGTTATCAGAAACTTGTGATTCAACAGGACACACAGAACATAGGATGTAATGGCACACACGTGTATAGAAGCACTACCAGGCGTGAAGAGAACCGAGAGCAAGGGGGATGGAGAAAGGTAAATGTGACAGGGACATAGCAGAACAGACCCGTGAAGATCTGAGGTAGAATAGGTCTTCAGCAACCAATGCTTGCCAAAAAAGGCGACTATGCTTGCCGTAAAAGGTGACTAACGGGATCGGGTGGTCAGGCTCGCTGACTTGGTTGATGCAGGTTATCGATCCCAATTGCGTGGATCGATGCTCATGATATGAATCACTGGATTGTGTGGTCCAGACTCGATTATTTACAGACTGCCGTCATATAGCTGGAACATTGCTGAGTGCAGCGTAAAACAACAAACAAACAAACAAACATAGTAGAACAGATAATGTCACACTGCTATGTACAAAATAATAACATTAAAATAACACACTACACAGGTTTCATATACAGACATATCCATACAATGCAAAGCAAGCACTTGTTTCATTTAGGCATATGTCCATATTCCACACACAAAGGTGAAATTCATCATCAGTGATGTATGACGGTATTATCCTAGCCATAAAGAAAATAAATATTTCACCAAGGGGCGATAACTCGATCCTAATATTAAGTTACATTATAAACATGGTGCATTGTTGTTAAGTCCTATTACTATTACAAGAACAATTACTACCTTCTGGTAACTATTATATTAATTACATATGTAATCATAATCTTTACTCCATTTATTTACTTAGAGACGTGACAGACATGTAAATTAGCAGCACCCTGTGGGTGACACCTGGGTGTTAATCCTCTAAAGGCAGCCCCCTTGTTTTGAAGCAGCAATAACCATATTCCTATATATATGCAATGTACTATATATGTGGAATAAATGTGAAATATAATACAATTATAGTATTAAAGCATATATCATTAAATGCTAACATACAATACACCTAAGAAACTCCGCATACAGTCAATAAACATCCACACACAAATATAAATGAAGAATGAGAATCATTTAAATTGTTTATTTAGCCTGAATTAATCAGTAATTTGGCAACATGACGACATCATCACCATACGAGATATTAGCATTTTAAAGATATTGAAACAACATCAGACAGAATTTATAAATTGTGTGTTATCATAGAAATAAAAGCGTATATTTAAGATAGCAATTATATATACTGAACCGCAAAAGCAACTTCACCCGATGTAACATTGCTTGACAAGTTGTAATTTAAATATCTGGGTAACTTTTGTCAAAGTTTCTTCTTAGCGTTAAAGACTGATTTTCTGATGTTGAGAAAAGTGACATTTTCATTTCCTACACTTGACATTCACTGCAGTGAACACAACACTTTCACGGAACTATTGTCATACACGAGTTACCTTCCCGCAAAGTACTAGTATCTCCCCCTTATTGTTAATGCCCCTCCAAAAACTGTTAACTTCATGTTTACGTTAGTTCCACATTAACAACACCAAATAATGACACAGGACATTTATGGAGTTACTATCGCTGAATCTGATGTTGTATATATTCATATGCAATTGTATGATAACTAATTTATTGACCTCAAATATGTTTTTTGTTACTTTTGTGAATACACGGAACTACGTTTTTATAACGCAATTACTAGAGGTGGTGAAACGTCCCTGCGTGTTAGGTAGGAACAATTTACGTTTCAAGGTTTTACATATGTAGTGAAATAATTTAATTTTCCGCAGACATTACACAAAAAGCATATAATAAAGGAGATTGTTTCACCCTCTTATTAAGTGTCCTACATTTGACTTGTTTCCGCTTTTTGTCAGTTACCCTGTCAATAAATGTTATTCGGTGAATGTAGCTAGTCGTGGATAGGCTGTAAATTGTATTGTATTTTTTTCAACTTATAGTGCAGAATGAGTACTTGAAAAAGGAGTGAGTGAGTTGGGTTTAACGCCGCTTTTAACAGTTTTACAGTCATATCACGGCGTGTCAGCTTAATGTGGGAGGAAAGGCCGAAGGGATGCAGGTCTCAGACGTTTACCACTTCGGTGAAACCCACGAGCACGGGTATGGTGCTGACAAACCTAGAAACATAATCGGGGCGAACTGGGATTCGAACCCACAATCATAGGTTTCTGGCGTGCCCAAGGGACGCAACTCTGCACAGCCAATCGCGGCGCCTTAGACGACTAGGCCACCCGTTCCCCTTTGAAAACGGAAAATACTGAGATGAATCTCACCTATCTCGTTTTACCCATCACAAGAGTAGGGTCAGACGAACCAACTACAATAATGTGGGCGAATAATAATAATGATCTGGGATTCGAGCCCACGATCATATGATCATAGCCTACCTTTAGAAAACATCTGTGTTTATCACACTGCGGGCATTCCTGTCATTTTAAACCTATCCCCTATAGTCGTGAACTGTAGAATAGATCTGTTGTTTACGTCTATTTGAAATTCAAGTGTGACATGGGCTTGTTGAATTCGTGTCTTTAGTTACCAGAAGATATGAGGACTCACTGATCTAGAGTCTTCTCTAAACGAGTTTGGAGTTTCTATAAATGCTTTGTCTTTAACCATGTTCGTCCATTGTCTTGTGTTGTATTGGTTATTAAAACAAATATCGCAGAGTTCATTATGTATACTGTCGGGCCGACTATTGACAGTCCGCCGTCCCGGGTTGACAGATATGGATGTACGGGTGGACAGATATGGATGTACGGGTGGGCAGATGTGGATTTACGGGTAGGCAGATGTGGGTGTACGGGTGGGCAGATGTGGATGTACGGGTGGGCAGAAGTGGATGTACGGTTGGACAGATGGGGATGAACGAGTGGGCAGATGTGGATGTACGGGTGGGGAGATGTGGATGTACGGGTGAGGAGATGTGGATGTACGAGTGGGCAGATGTGGATGTACGGGTGGGCAGATATGGATGTACGGGTGGGCAGATGGGGATGAACGAGTGGGCAGATGTGGATGTACGGGTGGAGAGATGTGGATGTACGAGTGGGCAGATGTGGATGTACGGGTGGGCAGATATGGATGTACGGGTGGGCAGATTTGGATGAACGGGTTGGCAGATGTGGATGAATAGCTGGGAACATGGAGATGCATGGATGGGCAGATGTTGATGTACAGGTGGGCAGATGTGGATGTACGGTTGGACAGATGGGGATGTACGGGTGGGCAGATGTGGATGTACGGGTTGACAGATATGGATGTACGGGTGGACAGATATGGATCTACGGGTGGGCAGATGGAGTTGTAAGGGTGGGCAGATGTGGATGTACGGGTGGGCAGATGTGGATTTACGGGTGGGCAGATGTGGGTGTACGGGTGGGCAGATATGGATGTACGGGTGGGCAGATGTGGATGTAAGGGAGGGCAGATGTGAATGTAGGGATGGGCAGATGTGGATATACGGGTGGACAGATGTCGATGTACGGGTGGGCAGATGTGGATGTAGGGATGGACAGATGTGGATGTACGGATGGACAGATGTGGATATACGGGTGGGCAGATGTGGATGTACGGGGGGACAGATGTGGATGTAGGGATGACCGGATAGAGAAGTGGTGTTTAGATGTGGATGTAAGGTGAAGAGATACATTGTGGGTATGATGGTGAGGAGGGACAAAGGGCTGTGGCGTTGTCAGATTGTCATGGTCCTTGCAGTGTCAGCTCATATGTTTCACAAAGTGCTAAACGTCCTCAAAATGCACCCCCATAAAGCTGGCTTACCGTGATATAACTCAAAGTGTATTGTTAACTAATCTCTACCCCTGTCAACCACACAGTGAGTGCGGGACGAAGACAAACAACCTTATCAGTGACTCGCGTTTATGTCAATATCACGACAGCAGATCTGATCATTATTGAACTGTCTGGGCTCCTGTTTATTGCTT